GGCACAGAATGAGAAGTGCACAGATGAATGGGCCTTGTTCTCTTGTCCTCTCTTGAGGATTCAGTGTATCTTTTGTTTGGCCATCGGGTGTTGAGTAAATAAGTAATTCAATTCAGCCCTGGGAACAGAGAGAGTAATGTCATATTCTCCTTGTAACTATTTAATGACTTCCTAAAACATTGATAACCTAGCCCTGCCTAGTCTGCCAACACCTATTGCACAGATGAATGGGCCTTGTTCTCTTGTCCTCTCTTGAGGATTCAGTGTATCTTTTGTTTGGCCATCGGGTGTTGAGTAAATAAGTAATTCAATTCAGCCCTGGGAACAGAGAGAGTAATGTCATATTCTCCTTGTAACTATTTAATGACTTCCTAAAACATTGATAACCTAGCCCTGCCTAGTCTGCCAACACCTATTTAACCGTTAGTAGTGACAGGTGGAAAGCACCTACCTAAATCTTAAAAAAACCCCTAACAAAACAAAAGCCACGTTGATTTTCCTAATTGTCCTTTAAGTAGCAGAAGGGAATTAAAAAGCAAACCCAAACCTCTTCTGAGTCCAGTGTTACTACTTGATGGATAAGCCAAGCAAACTTTTAAAATAACTGAATGATTTCATAGCTCTTACATAACCTGAATAAAATATTGAGTGCAGGCAAGTGTGGAAATAAATATTTAATTTTCTCTGTTCTATTTTTTCTACAGCTTATTTAGATTTTGAAATTGTAGAAGGTCAGTCAGAATGAATCTAAAGGGAATTACAGCATTTATTTGCTGTACAGATTCTAGCAACCTGTCAACACAACCTTTCTGGAGTTATGCTCAGGAGTAGTGTTAAATTTTGGGTTCTTCTTTATTCAGACAATTACTAATTCCCATTTTCATTTGCTTCCTCTATTTCTGGTTGAACCAAAACACACTGCAATAACAGCTGAGTTTCATCAGCCTGGGTATAAGCCTTTTGCTTCACAGTTATTTGTGCTCTGTGTGGGAAACCCCAGATCATTCATTTTTATATTAAATCTAGGGCTGAAAAGTCAGATGATTATGTTCCAAGTTCCTTGATGAAATGGCAATGCTGCCTTGGCATTTGGTGTTTCTCGGTGCAGTGCGAAATGAGCCGAGTGCAGTGTATCAGGGCAGTTAGCAGCCCACAGCATTCTCTGATACTGCCCTTGAACCTTCTTTAACTCTGCCTTTTCTTCACTGATCATGTGGCTGATGCATTGCAGCTGCAAATCAAAACATGATTTTTTTTTAACGGAATAAATTCACTTACAGATGTGCAGCCCAGAGTGGTGCTTTGGCCGTTATGTCACACACATACTTTGCTGCAAGCTCTGCCCTTCTGAGCTGTTCAGAGTAAGATCCAAAGAAATGAGTGTGGCTGTGTAATGGTCTAAATCTTTGCACTAAGAAGCACCATATTTTCTAGCTGTCACTCTAATTGGACATGTCAGTTAACATGAGGTGCCCGGAGAGGACCTCGTTGGATAGGATTAAGATTACCCAATGAAGTGTTTAAAGTCTTAAACCTTCAGTTGCTGATGGTGTAATCATTTCTGCCTTGTGCTTAACTGTGCTTAATCATTTCTGCCTTTTTCTGCCTTACATTCAACACATGCACAATGCCATGAAAACCAGGTGGTGTGTTGTAGCGCATTGGAATGCTTTAAATTCTCTGAGAGAGTTTCCAGACCTAAAAATACTGCATGTGTTATGGATATCCAACCTGAGAAGTTGGGCCTGAGAAGAACTTCATGCCCGAGTTATCTTTTACTGTCGGCATCTTCACCAGTTCCCAGGCATTCAGTGGTTTTCATTGCAAAAGTTCACTATGTCTGTCATCTCCTTGTGCTTAAGCTGTGGGATGTCGAAGACCAGCAGGTATGGAACTGTTTTGTGTTGGTAACTTGTACTTATGAGCCAGATTCTTCTAGTTCTCTTGAAAGTCGTGGGATTTTTCAAAAATATATCCTTGCTGCTCAGATTTCAGTAGAATTTTGTATAACCTATTTTTTTTTTTCCAGTTTAGGAAAACAGAGAAATGTCAATATTGCAGGTTTGTTAAATACTTCATCACTATGTCTTGCCAAAACAGCTGTCTTCTGGTGTTGCCATGAAAATAACTTCTGAAAAAGCCAGTGTTTGATTGTTGCTGTTCCTGATCTGTGCATGTGAAGGGAAACTGATCTAGGAATAGAATTCTAAATGATTTATCCTTACATCCAGGTCAATATCAAATGATGCCCTGATGAGGATATCTTTAGCTGCACCTGATGTTCTGTTTTGGAGTTCAAGCCCTTATTCTTACTGTATAATCCAGGGAGAAGAAAAATTCAAAACAGCATACAAATTTACAAAGTTGATGCCCACTTCTTGGCAGTGTTAGCACACACTTCTTAAACAATTGCAGAATGTCTCTTGCTGAGTTTTCCTTTTGAAAAAACCTTTCTAAAACCAGAATGATGACATTTTTGCAAGCTTTTTAAAATGCACATATCTTGCAAAAGCTATAGAACCATATTGCCTCGAGATCAAGACCTGAACTCCCTCATCTTTCTCATCCTGCTCTCCCATACCTCCCTGGCATCTCGGAACTGGAAAGTAGGAATTTTTTGTGTTATTCAAATGTTACATTTTGTACACCTGAGTTCACAGTGGCAAAAGTGCATATGATGAATGTGTTTTGGCACTGTAGTTTGCTATCAGCTTAATGTAATCTTCTACAAATTCATTCATGACTGTCTCCTGTGCAGCTTGCAGCATTTCATACCTGTACTGCCACACAATTGTTTGTTCAGAACAATAAAAAATGCTCCAGTGGGTTCTGGAATGATGGTGGCTCAGTGAAGTAATTTGAATTGAGATACATTTGTCATTAATTCAATCTAGGTATTTTTTCTTTACACTGACAGTTTCCACAGCAGTGCCACTGTAGGAAATGAAGGAGCATTGAATTACGTAGGAAATACCTTTGGGAAAAATTGTCATGGTCTTTTGAATACTCTATTTTAATTTTTCCCCTCGTAACTCATTTTGTAGGCAACTGGTATCAGCCTAAAAATTAAAGTGTTTGTATTTGTCAAAATCAGTATTGGTCAGTAATAACTTGATTTATAGGTGACTTACCTGAAATTATCTAGAAAGCTGCATCTTTGAATCCTACAGATGCTATACATGGACAAAGCAGTGTTTGGATTTCCTCCCTGAGACTGAGAAAGAAAGAAAGAAGTTGAAGCTCTTTGTTCTAATGTTATGTTTGCTCATCACCACTGAAGCTGCAATTTGCATTTCAGCCTTAGCTTCTGTAATATTGTAATGCAAAGCTCATAGCTGTGCTGTGGTGCTGAGTCCCTCTCCTGAAATAGAGGCCCTTTAAGTAAAATACTGTCTTCAGAACGTAGCTGATGGGCTGAAGTGCAGCATTTGGAGTGACTCTTTTTGCTTGTGCTGTGCAGGATGGAGGCTTCCTGCCTGGAGCTGGCTTTGGAAGGGGAGCGCCTGTGCAAGGCCGGAGACTGCCGAGCTGGCGTGTCGTTCTTCGAAGCAGCTGTGCAGGTTGGGACTGAAGATTTACGCACCCTGAGTGCTATTTACAGCCAGTTAGGCAATGCCTATTTCTACCTGCATGAATATGCAAAGGCCTTGGAATACCATCACCATGATTTAACTCTAGCAAGGTAACCTCATGTCTTTAACTGTGTTCTCCGTGTCGTGCTGTTCTCAGAGAGATGAGCAGCTGACTGATCATTTTCCTGTCAAATTAATACTGGCTAATGAGTGAATGTGGTGGTGGCAGAGGGCTGGGGGGTCTGCCAGGTCACTTGGTTGCCCTCTAACCTGGAAGCTAATACTTGGTCTAGCCCCATAATCCTAGGACTGACTGAGGCCTCACCAGGTTTGTGAATAATTGACTGCTTTAAATCCACCCTTGCCTTACTCCTTCCTGTTTCTAAAATTCAGTCTTTCTAGTTTCCAGAACGTTAAACTGCTTTCTCATTTACTAGACAGAGCTCATTCATGTTTACTTGGGTAAACCATAACGTAGTGTTTTGAAATATGTGCTGTTTGTGCCTGTGACTTTTACTCATTTGCTATAGATCCAATAAAAGACACAGGCACCTAATGTACTTAACATCAGTTTATGCATAGATCTGTTCCTTAACCTGCTTCAGTGCTGTGACCTTGGAGGAGTTTGTTTTATTGTGTTATCCTGCAGTACAACAGTCTGAGTGGTTCAGGGTCAGTCTCTGGCCTCAGTCTCATTTGGAGTCTAGAAATGTAGTCATGTCTCTGAGCTTTTTAGGAGACTATGGTGTGTCTTGCAAGTAATGGAAGACTTAGATTAGTCAAGTAAAACACAGACACAGTTAAACGTCTTTCTGAACCTGGGACTGACTTTCTACATCATCATTAAGAATTTTCTCTATTCTTTTCCTAAAGAAAGTGAATTAAAAAAAAAACTTAAGTAGATGATGAATTTCCTGAACAGCAGCTGTTGTACAGACAGCACCAACAGACTGAAATGTCTGTAACCACAGATTGAACAATGATTCTAGCACATTTCAGACAGAAAATGAACACATAAGCTGTTATATGGTAGTAGTCACTTTTCATAACTTCTTCTAATTGTCTGTCATACGTTGATCACCTGCATGTTTCAAATTATGCACTACTTACTAGGTACTTAATTTTTGCAATTTTAGGACAATTGGAGATCTACTGGGAGAAGCTAAAGCTAGTGGGAATCTGGGCAACACTTTAAAGGTACTTGGGAATTTTGAAGAAGCTATTGTTTGCTGCCAGAGACATCTGGATATTTCCAGAGAGCTTAATGACAAGGTAAGAATGGTGTAGGAATCTGGAATTAAACTGCTAACACATGTTACTGCTCCCTGTTGTCCTGATAAGGAGTGAACCACCTTTCAGAGGGAAGCAAATACTGAATATTCAATTATTTTTTCTAGACAGTAAGAACCTATTAGTTGTAATATAGTTGTTTGCACACAGGGTAATATTTAACCTGGATCTGTAGTCTTCTGTTTTGTGGTGGCTTTGTTTGGTTTTCATTCAATGTTTCATGATAATTGACCTCAAGAACTACTATGTATCTTGCACCTCAAAAGGAAGTAGTAAGCAAAGCAATAGGATTGAGGGATATGACTGGGTGGGTGTTAAAAACATGTTCAGAATGGGCAGAGTGTGTGTTGACAACTAATTAAACTTTTTTCTCCATCTGTGGATGGCACAAATTTTTGTTGTGACACAAGTCTTTGAAGCATGAAATTTTAATGCCTTATTTTACTTTTGGTTTAGGTTGGGGAAGCAAGAGCACTCTACAATCTGGGAAATGTGTATCACTCTAAAGGGAAAAATGTAGCTAGTGCTGGGACTCATGATCCAGGGGAACTTCCAGATGATGTGAAAAATGCTTTACAAAAAGCTGCAAATTATTATGAGTAAGTAGTAGCTTTAAATGTTGGGGATTGGGAGGACATGATCATCTAGTTCACTAGAATATGGGAGATGTGTAGTGTCTGTCATGAGCTAAACTGTGGAACACTTCCATGCAGAACTGAGGTACCTGTCAATTTGTTCTCTTTTCAATGGGAAAGTGCACTGGTTTCTGTTATTTTGGTGTTCTGGTAATTCCATCCCTTTGGTTGTAATCCAGTAGTAATCTTCCAACCAGGCTGAGATGACAGGACCTTGTTATACTTGTATATCCCAGAGGCAGGTGCACTGGCCTGAGTCAGAATGCTGTGGAGCTCAGTATCTCACAGGAAATGTTTCTTAGATTTATGGCTGCATAAAGGCCACTAAAACAGGCCAAAGTAGAATACTTCTAGCTTTTCCCTTGTATAAAGATTTAAAAATTATTATTTAAATGACTGAGGAAAAAAGACCTCTTAAAAGTCACTCTTCTCCTTCTCACTTCCCCCTACAACAGGGAAAACCTGACAATAGTAACTGAGCTGGGTGACAGAGCAGCACAAGGACGTGCCTTTGGGAATCTGGGAAACACACACTATCTTCTGGGCAACTTCAGGAGTGCAGTCTTAGCCCATGAACAGGTACAACAATGTGCTAGTACAGAATTCTGTTCTAGCTAAATCTCACTGGTTGGTTGCTCTGGACCCACTGTGCTGGGTCTTGTTGCAAGCTTTTCATGCAGATTTTAAATCTGAACGGCACAGCTTCTGGTTTGGCTGTTCTGATCAAGCATTGCTGACCTAAACAATGCACTTTTTTATGCATTTCAATATGAAAATGTATGCTACAAAGTATAAACTGGAGTAAATAATGCCATTACATTTCACATTTTTCAGCGTCTCCTAATTGCAAAAGAATTTGGTGATAGATCAGCAGAAAGAAGAGCATACAGCAACCTTGGAAATGCCCACATCTTCCTGGGTGAATTTGAAACAGCTTCTGAATACTACAAGTTAGTCCACTGCTCATAAATACAATTTATATCTGTTGTACAGTTTACTTCTGTTGTGCCTGGTACTGTAGCTGACTAGAACTTCTTCAGCATATACTGGAGAAGAAACCCTGCATTTCTTTAGCAAAAATAGTTACCTATTGCAGCTCTTGTAAGGGAGAGGCAGCATTAATATTTATTTTTTAATAACTCTTCCTTCAAATAGATTCTTCTCAGCACTGTAGACAGACATCTTTCCACTGCTAGGCATTTATTCCCCTTTGTTCTAGAACCAGGCATTGCTGGCTCAGCTCTTAGCAAGTTCTGCAATGACCCACGTACCTTTCCTGCCCTGATGGGGTGGCTGCCTCGGGTGTGCTCTCTAGCTGAGAGGTGGTGCAGGGCAACACAAATGTACACATTTAGACTGTTACTTTCAATCCAGAGGTTTTCTTGATCTTCTGCACCACTAACCAGTTGCTGCTGTACTTGGGAAAGTAAAAGCTCAGCAAAGATATGGTATAAGTGTTATTAGCATCTTAGGTGGATTTTGGAGCTCACCTGTTATTTTTGAAAGAGAAAAATGTCTCAGGACTGAGCAGATTCCTCAACTTCTTCTTGCCCAGCAGGACCAGGCTGGCTTGGTGGGTATAGGTCTGTCCTTAGGCTGATGGTGAGGTGGTTGTTGTAATGCTGGTACTAAACTGTGTCAAGTGCCTACAGTCAGGAAGACTCCTATGAATTATTAATGAAGCAATAAATTAAAAGACTGTTTGAGGGATCAGCCTGTTCTCTAATAAAGTCAATGGAAATAGGTTGCAGTGGAGGAAATGGGAGACTTTACAAGTCTAAGAGTGTAAGAGTTTACAAGATAGTAATTAAGTAGCTGATAATTGGCCAGTCTGGTGTCCTAATTGAAGTTATGCAACTGATTTTCAGTTGTGCAGATATACTTCTAAAAACTTGTCCTTGCAGTGATTTTTGGGCTGACTAACCCCTTCTTTCAGGAGGACCTTACAGCTGGCTCGGCAGCTGAAGGACAGAGCCGTGGAAGCTCAGGCCTGCTACAGCCTTGGGAACACATACACTTTGCTCCAAGACTACGAGAAAGCAATTGATTATCATTTGAAACATCTTGTGATTGCTCAGGAATTAAATGATAAGTAAGCCCTAAAAGATTGTTTAATGTATGTGTGACACTTAGAGCAAATCCTGTTACCTCCAACTCTGCTGTCACTGGTTTTTATGTGACAGCTGAATTAATGTGCATTTGCCCACAATGCTGAGCTCTGGTTTTCATATGGAAAGCAGAAGTTACTCATGAAGGTATTGCAGCTAATGAGTCTGAGATGAAAGATGGATTGATGAATGACTTGTCTCTACATCTTCTCCTGTCAGCATCGTCTGTGTAAATTAAGGAAAAGCAGATCTCTCTTTCATTACTTCATTATAATAATTTTGCATACTTTCATAAGAATATGTCTCCTTGTCTTCCACAAACTAATAAATATCGGCAGAGATGGGGAAAGGAGAATAACACAGAAGCAAGTAATGTTTATATTACAAACTTGATTTCTAAGACCTTTTTAATAATGTTGGGTACAACTAAAACTTTTTACAACTTGAAAACGTACTTGTGAGTAAGGAGGATACAGGAACAATAGTAAGGCATGCAAAATAGGATATGCAATGTTCTGTGCTTGCAAGAATGAGTGACTTGTTTGCTGTGAGCTTAAAACTGAGATTTGTCCATATTTATGGTAATGCCCAGCTCACACTCCTTTAAATAGAGTCTGTAATGTGCTGGTGTTGGAATGGTCTCTGGTGACAGCCCTTGTTTGTTGGCACCGCATCTCACTTTGGCAGTGGTGTGAAAACCTGACCCCTGGTGTCCAGCGGGTAAAGGTGTCATGGAAAATGTGTGTGTTGGTTTCAGAATCGGTGAAGGAAGAGCCTGCTGGAGCTTAGGGAATGCATATACTGCTCTGGGAAATCATGACCAGGCTATCCATTTTGCAGAAAGGCACCTGGAGATTTCAAGAGAGGTATGATTCTCACACTCCAACTATGCTGCCTGTTTCGTTCTGCTCTCGCTTACTTAGTAGTTTTATGTGTCCATGCACCTGATACTGAGTACTGGAATGCATTCTGAATGGTTTCAGAAATAGTTGATTCCATGTTATTTCAGCCAGGTCTCACTGCAGTTAGCTCCTTAGTTCTAGTGTCACCTCTGATAATGTCATCATGGAATCCAAGCTGGCAGCCTAGCAGAGGTTATTTCAGGCTCTGTTATTTATCTGATAGTTGTTATTAATTTAATCATTAAAAAGATGATTCAGTCTTCAACCAGGAAGACTTTTGCAGGCTTTTACTCTCAGAAATCTAGGGGACAAGGATTGCTTTTATGTGTGCATGTTAAGGTAAGAGAACTGCTTGTTTTATTTGCTTGCAGGTAGGAGACAGAAGTGGAGAACTCACTGCCAGACTTAATCTCTCAGATCTTCAAATGGTTCTTGGATTAAGCTACAGCACAAACAACTCCATGATGTCCGAAAGCCACATGGTGGAAAACAGTTTCAATGGTAGGTGCCTCCTCCTGCAATATGTTCTGCTGAGCTTTAAAAGAACCTTTGTTTGCATTATTTACTGAACACACATGACTGCAGCCTTGCTTGGTTTTCTCCCCCACAAGCAAATGAAGGTTGTTTTTGCAGTATTGGACCTTTTCAGCACCTCCTTTTCTGGAGGATGTACATTGTGAATCACAGGTTACTGCTTAGTTTCTTCACATGATGTTTCTAATTTCAGCTGTGTCCCCCCTCCTTTTGTTTTTAATGTGGGATGTGTATCTATTTGCTGCCAAATCCTGTCTTTTTTTCTTCCTGCCATCTTAGCATCACTGGGTTACAGCAGAACCCACTTCATTTGATGTTCAAAGATCATGGTCCTTCTCTTGTGTCACATAAAAGTGACTTAGGTAGCTTAGATGTGTGTGGCTTTTGAAGGCTGATTTTACTAGTGGCTATTTATTCTCTGCTGATACATGTAACTGCACTACGTGGCACTCAGAACTGCTGTACCTTGGACCTTAGATGAGTACAGCCACAGCTTGGAAATGACACTGTAAATTTTGATTGAAAGATGAACTGGATTCTCTCTTGCAGGTACCAGACCGAGAGGACGTCGCCACAGTATGGAGAACATGGAACTCATGAAATTAACACCAGAAAAGGTTGGCACTTTGCTTCTTTCTGTTCTGCTGCTGAGATTGCAGTCAAACATTTCTAAGGGTTTAATTTCAGTTATGAATAGTCAGAAGTTTTATACTTTGAAAGAACTCAGCGGAATGTTGAGTGTCATTTGCCTCCCCTGTTTAATTTGAGTTGTTTTTATGAGTTACCTAACAGCAGGTCTAACAATACTAACAGATAATACTTCTGGCATGCAGGTAGCAGTCAGCATCTGACACAGACAGTGGTTGGAATGGCTTGTGGGAAGCTTGTTTTATACCCTGCATAAATAAGAAAGAATGGGGTCCTGTCATGTGCATCAAAGGAATTCCTTTCATCTCTTTATAGAGGTGGTTTGAGGTTGCAGCATGATTCAGAGTAAAATTCCTAAACTTTAGTTCAGCTGTTCTGAGCAATTTTTCTTTGGTTACAGTCATTTTATGGGCACTTAAAATACTTGTGGTTTTCACTTTGGGACTTCAACCAACTTGCAAGTCATCAGGAGCTTCAACATCCATCCTGAGTCAGGAGGCTATTTCAGAAATGCTGCACCCGAGTCACAGACAGGCAAAGCAACTTCCCCCCAAGCTCAGAGAAGTCCCTTGGAGATGGGAGTTCCCAATTCAAGTCCTTGTGCCAATCTGCAAGAGATTTCCTTCCCATTCTATGTGCCATTCAGCACTGGGCTGGCATTGTACATGAGAGGCAGACTGAGATTAGTGTTTTTCTTTCCACAAGGGGATATCTAATTCCCATCTCTTGAAGTGATGGAACTCCTCCCACTGTGTTAATCAAGCAGGCAGTAACATCTCAAAGCCTGTGTGTGGGCAGTTAGTACAGCTCAAGGCAGCACTGATGTCCAGGAGACTGTCTGTACCTGTAGTCCATGGTGAGGCCTCTGCAGGGAACCTGTAAGCTTCTAGCCACTACCAACCATGTTTTCTTACTCTCCAAATCTGTTTATCTGAGATCTCTCTTAAAATACACATCTCTCTGTGCCCTAAATATACTAAAATGTTTTGGGTAGATGTTTGGCATTAATCTAGTATTGCAGCTTGGTTCTTGTAAAGGGTTTTTTTCAAGGTACTTACTGAGGTCGAGTCTGAAAATTCATTCCATAAATGTCTTTGATATCTAGGTAATGCACGCCCTGAGCATTAGAGTTTGATTGTACAGAATGCCATTTTCTCAGAGCTGGGAGGCTGTGCTGGTGTTCAGTAAAGCCTTGGAAAGACACTCCATTAGGACAGGCAGTGTTGCTAGAAGATTTGGGACTGTGTTCACCATTTCTGACGTTGAAGCAAGAAAAAAAAAGTTTGCTTTGGTTTTGTTTCGTTATAAGACTTTGGCAGTAGTGGGTAAAGCTAATTTTGTGGAGAATTTTGTTTATTATATAAGAAATTTTAGAGAAAATCTTTCGGGTTGATGAAGCTTTCCATTCTGTTCTTCAGTGAAACAAGATGGTTATTCCTGTTTCCTCTTGTGCTGGCATTCTTCTCCCTCTTCCTTTTCCATCTTTATTGGGAAGTTTGTGTATATGAACGACGTCAGGGAAGGGTGGTGGAGTACTGGGTTTGTATAAGGGTTTGTTTTGCTCTAACACTTTATAATGGGGTTTTTCAGTTTTTAATTTCCAGTTTTAAGCATGTCAGGTGGGAAGTGGCAGCTGTGCCTGCAGTTCAGCATCTCCATTAACTGCCTTTCCTGCACTGCAGTCAGCAAGGACAACTCAGTGTGTTTGATTTAATGCACTATTTGATCACATTTTAATCCATCAGGTGTCACACCACAGCTCAGTTCTCAGACCAATCAGTAACACCACTAACCTGCTTCAGCTAACCACAGCTCACTAACACAGGTCAAGTAACAGAACCAGACCCTAGGTGTTCACATCCCCATGGCTGGATGAACAAAATAATGTAAAGCTGTTTCATTTTGGGGTGGAAAAGCAGCAGCAAGTAGGGGGTAACAGTTCAGGTGCTTAAAATCAGAAGGCTTAATTTAATGACTCTTGTTTTCTTAGGTTCAGAACTGGAACAGTGAAATTCTTGCTAAACAGAAACCCCTGGTTGCCAAACCTTCAGCAAAACTTCATTTTGTAAATCGACTAAAAGGCAAAAAGTACAAAAACAGCACCACTTCCAAAGTTTTGCAGGATACCAGTAATTCTATTGATCATCGACTTCCAAACTCTCAGAGGGTAGGTTTGGGGAGCTGTGGAGATCACAGCCTTGACTCATCTTTGATCAAAATGATGGAAAACACATTCCTCAGCTGCCTATTTCAGGTTGACTCGACTTAAACACTGTGGTTCTGAAAAATGATGCAGAATCTGCAATTCTCCAGCTGTCTCATGGGTGGTGCCAGCTTTAAGCATTTCCTATTGCTGGAACATTTTATTCACAGTGCATTTTCTAAAGTTAGAGCTCAGCTTGTACATATACTTTATGTCAAAGTCCCTTCTAGACTAAACAAAATCTAATTTTCCTGATTCAGGCAGTGGGAGATATTTTGGCCATATTTTTCAGGTTATTGCACTCCAAAAGAAGTCAGTTAAAAGTAAAAGAACTGAGCCATTTGATCATAGACCTGAGGAGACAATGGGAACTGTTCATTGCTGTTCTTGTTGCTTTTTTTCCCCTCATGGGCATTTGTGTTTTTGGTGGATTAATGGCTGAGGAGGAGCAATTCCAGCAGTACCAAGATGAGAGCACTTACTCTTTCTGTTTCAGAGAATGAAACATTTCTAATGTATCTTACCTTCCAAAAATACTGCCACAGTGTTAGCATCTGCTCTTAGGATAAATCTCTGTCCATAGAAATGGATGACTAAAAAAATTCGTTTAATAGATTTCAGATACTCAAACACAGTACTGGACTGAAACTCTGATGCAGCTGTCCCAGCATTAGGTACTCAAGTTCAAAATCCTCCTAACTCTTCTCTCCTTTTCAGAAAAGCAGTCGAGAGACAGTGGCAGATGAAGGGTTCTTTGATCTGCTGAGTCGATTCCAGAGTAACAGAATGGATGATCAGAGGTGCTACTTCCAGGAGAAGAACAGACTCTCATCTGCTTCAGTGGCAACATCCTCTACTCCACCTAAAACAATGAGAAAATGTAATTTTTAACAAGTAAAATCTGTACCTGACTTTAGTTTCCACCATGTACTTGCACACAAGGCTCACTACAGAAAGGAGTTATTTCTATTTCTAGACTAACTTGTTTTCTTCCTCTTCCCCAGCCTTTTCCACTTCTGTAGTGTCCCCACACACGGATGAATTCCTAGACCTCCTTGCCAGCTCCCAGAGCCGCCGGCTGGACGACCAGCGCGCCAGCGTCAGCGACCTGCCCGGCCTGCGCCTCACCCAGCACAGCAGCCACTCTGTCCTGGGCCACCTCATGGCCACCAGCAACAGGGAACTCGATGATGACTTCTTTGATATATTGGTAAAATGTCAGGTGAGCATTCTACAAACACTCCTCAGCTTCTGCACCTTTCGGGACTTGATTTGTACCTCCTGCTATTTAATATCTTCCAGTCAGCCACCTTGTTTGCCAGGGGATTTAAGATACACATTGATTTGGCAGATCAGGAAGAACATAAGAGAACAAAAGATTATTTTTTTCAAGTTTTGGGGTTCTTTTTTACAATTTCTTTCTTGTTTTTTTTAAAATTTTATTTTACACTATCCAGTGTCTACTAAGTGTAACTTAAACTTGTCAAAATTATTAACTTGAAACAAAACTTACAGGGATTTAGTTTGTAATAGATTTAAATCTCAACCCAAAAGCTTTTAGTGTTTTTTTTCTTCACTTATGCTGTTCACTTGTTATTGTATTCCTGTAAATATGCACTTCATCCCCTGCTCTGTCTGTAGGGTTCCAGACTGGATGATCAAAGATGTGCTCCTCCAGCATCTGCAAAAGGCCCCACTGTACCAGATGAGGATTTTTTCAGCCTGATTTTACGATCACAAGCTAAGAGAATGGATGAGCAGAGAGTCCACTTACCCTCAGCGATAAAGGGATCGAATTCCAGCTGAAGACACACCCAGGCATGTACTGTACAGAGCATCTTAGGTATCATTTTTGTTTGCTAGAAAAGCTTACTTGTTAAAAAGCCTTTGTAAAGCTGACTACAATGAGTAGTTTTGTCTCCTTTCTACTAATTTTTCATGCCCACAGCAGCAGGATCACAGTAGTTAGAGCTGCTGCTGTTCCTGAAGTTGGCAACTGCTTTTGTAGCAGCCAATGATGTGTCTCCCTCTTAACTGCCTCTAGTCTATACACATTAACATGATTCTTTTCTCTGTCAAGATACATTCATTGCTCACGTGTGGATGCTACCACTGTCTCAATCTAGTGTAAAACCTGAATTTTTATGTTCTTTCTAAAGAAAACTTGATTTTTCTCTCCCCCCCGATTTGTACCTCCTGGAAGAAGGTCCTGTTTTCTTTTATACTTTTTTTTAAAAAATTAAAAAGAATTTGAGAAATAGCTTCAGTATTTAGTCTGTCTTTGCAGAACAGTTTGGAAGAAACAATCATTTCTAACACAGAATAATTAAACCCTAGTTTTAATTCTTTTTAATATAAAAATAGTCTTTTCAAAAGATGGGGGTTTTGGGTAATATTGTTTCCTGTATTCACTCAGCACAGTCTTACAATCAGGAGAGGGTTTCTAGAAATACTTATTTTCAGTAGCAGCTGCTAATGCTGCTCTGCAGAGTGTGTGGTACATTCCCTGCTCCAGGGAATCAGGGGGTGGGGGGCACTTGGCACAGACTGATGTGGATAGTTCCTGCAGTACCTGAATTCCCAATGTCACACACAGAGGAAATGCACATGGGCTGCTGATTGCTTCACCTCAACTCCTCCTCCTTCTCTTGCTAAGGATGTGCTGTGCTAGGGTAGCTCTGAGGAACAACTGCTGCAACTTGGTCTTCCCTGTGGTATATACTGTACTGAGGCAGTTCCTGGGAACCCTGAGGGCTATGTGTGGTTTTAGCTGTGTCTATCTTGAGTTAGAAGCTGCTGATTTTAACACCAAAGGTGGCAAACTGTTCACTGTGGGTATCTGTAACTCATGTCTTATTTATATTGAAGTATAGCCCTAGAGAAGAATCTACAGTTAATTTTAGCTTCCAAGGGAAATGGCACAGTGTAAGAATAAACTGACACTGAATTCAAACTACTTCACAATTACTGAAAGTTTTGTAAACTTCTTGTAGCTTTTTTTTAAGCACTAAAATCTGAATCCTACTGAAACTGTCCTCCCTCTGCTTCAAAGGAGGTATGTCAGAATGGTTTTCCAAAAATCACACACCAGTTCATCATGCTGAGCTTTGATGCTTTTAGTGCTTTCTATTCCCTATTCAACTCTGAATTGCCCTAAAAAGCATCTGATACATCAGCTTCTCACTCTCTGCAAATCATTAAACTAGGCAAAAATCAATAAGCTGTCCTAAAACTGAGCTGAGGAGCAGCAAACTGATTTTAAAGAATATAAACCCACAGACCTGAGATATCTCTGAGCTGTGGTTAGTGTTATGTGAATTCCATGACTATCAGCAACTGTCTTGAGGCTGTTGGACAGGCAGCTGGGCTAAGCTTGTGTTTGCTGGAACACAGTCTTGGTGCTTCCCCTCCACTGAGAATCTAGTTTTACTCTAAGCTTTTATACAAACTTGATTTCCAACATGCAGCAGCACCCCCAAGCCTGTTTTCTTGGCCACTTAAAGGTCTATGATCTTACTTAACACAAGTATTTCAAATTCCAGACACAGCATCTGTACTCACCCACCCAGTTTTTATAACCCCACCTTACAGCTCACTGATGTTCTCTTTTCTACACCTGAGAAGTAGAGCAGAATTAACAAGTATATGACAATTAAAGATTAGACAAAACTTACAGCAGAGCTTGAGGCTTCCTTAATCTCCTTCTTGTGAGTCTTGTAAATGGCACTTTTTCTTCTCTTCACATGGTTCCACTGCAGAACTTTTCTCTTCTAGGTTTTTATTAGGTTCACAATTTTCTCCAGTGTCTCCCTCTGCTTTGCTTTTCTCCTGTTTTTGCTGCTCAGGTGCAGGTTCTTCAGTAAGGTTTTCAGCTTTGAGAGTTTCTGCTCTATGAACTTCAGACTCAGTGTGCAATCTATTCTGTAAAAATTAATAATCATTATTAATTAAACAATCTAAAGGGAGAGCATGCATTGCTTTAGGTGCATCTCAGTGCACAGGGCAGACCTCACCCAAAGCATGACTGGGATAATTTTTTTTTCCTGAGGAGACAGTACATGTAAATAAGCACAATCTACAGTGTCAATCTGTTTTGATTTTTCTGTACAGAAGTCAGCACTGCTTTTTTCCCCCCACCTTCTTTTGTGGGTAATCATAACTGCTCATGCTGACATAAGTACTGGTCTCAAAACTGAAGCTTTTAGTACAAGGAGTTTTAATTGTGGTTTCCCACCACAGTTAGCCATTACACAGTGTTTTTCCAGAAAGAAAAATGTCCAAGGCACCTTGGCCAAACTGTTCTATAGGGAAACATGTACTTCTTTAACTCCTCTCTCCCCAGGATTTGGATTAAGCTGGTTAAGCTTGTTGTTTAAATGTGTTCTAGCAGATGACACTGAAATCCATTAAACTTAATCCCAGCTCAAAGAGCATCAGGACTAACATTAGGTTCTGGTTTGTGTGACTCTTCCACTTGCATGTCTGGCTCATCCCTGGCATAGGCCTTGATGGGACTTCTGCTGCCATTTCCTGCTCTCACAGTCAGGAGAGGTCTCGCAGAGGCATCTCCTCGGTCCTGGTGTCCTCTGTAAAGGTAAGGATGTTTCTGCAAGTAATAGTCATCTGCTCTGCTCTCATCATACTGCCCAAAGTCTATTTTCTCTGGATGACTCTCAGGTGGAGCAAGACTTTTCCTCTGAGAAGATGTTAAGTATCTTAACACAGACACTGATGATCCTGCACCATAGAAGAAGGCCTGGGGGAAGAGAAAAAGCCCAGACTGAACAAAGAACCAAACATTTGCAGTTTTCACACACATTTCCAAGTCACATATCTGAAATACCCTGAAACAAGAGCCAGAACAGCTACAGTAAAATTCAGGCTCTCTGCAGTCTAACCACACTGCAGGAACCACCAGACATTGCTGGTGTGATCAGAGAACATTCAAGATGCTGAAGGCTCTAGCTCAGTGCCTTGGTGTACAAAATGCCAATTATGTGCATCATTGTGTAATGACACAAAGAAGAAATGGGAACTAAGCTGCAATAAACTGTCACTGAGGCTTCCAATTCTAAGCAGTTTAATGCTGTTTTATCCCACTTGGGGGAGTGGGGAGAGATGTGGTTTGAACACAGACTTGGCTATTTTAATTGCCAAACCAACTCTACTATAAAGCTCCTGTCAAGAAAAAGTTCCCTTGCACAAGTAATTTCATCTGTGCTAAGAAATCTGCTCAGTAGTACAAATAAAAATAATACAATAGATAATACTTAAATATGAGTAAATTTAATACATTTAAAAGCTGCTTTATTTTTTATATAAAATAAAGGGGTACAAACCACGACAGCCAGAGCCATAATGACAAGCACTGGAATCTGCAGAAGGAATGGTATCTCCTTCATAAGTGCTTTGATGAATTCGCCAATACCTTGACCCACATGCTTCAAAGGCTCAGTCACAAAGTTGGTGAAAGTAATTGCCAAGGCCTAGAAAAAGACAAGCAGAAAAATAGTTTTGTCAGGGATTACAAACATCAACATGAACAGTCCCTTTGGATCTGACATATACCTTTGTTGGTGGAACCAGCAAAACAGGATTTACAAGTAGAGTTTCATAGTACTTCTGACAGGGATCATCCTGAAACGTCCATGTACTTCTGAGCCATTCTGTAGTCAAAGCAGAGACATATTTTTACTACTTCTTAAAAATCTCTTTTATGACACAGCAGTAACACAGAAAGATCTAAGAGAACACTTCTAGGTATGGTTAAAAGCTCAGATTTAAAAATCTGGATTATCTTGGCAGGGTAGTTTATCCAGTCATGGGGATTCAGGAAGGGTAGAGAAGGCTGGAAACACAAAGAAGAACCTGAAGTTTTCCTATGCATAGTCAAGAAAGTTCTCTTTATTTGATGAACTCAGTCTCTAGAAGCCTCAGAAGAAAACTAAGTCTCATCTGTGGGAACAATTATCTAACACATTGTGTCCACAGCTACTGAAACAGCATCATACTCTGTGTTATTACTCTTCTGCCACTCTGCTTTTAGATTAAAATTGTTTTGCTTGCTAGGTTTCAAGGGTCTATTTTAGTTAAAGAGAAAGTCTTATTTTTCTTCAGGGAATTTTTAAGTTATAAACAAGTAATTTATGACATCAATGTTTCACTAGTTTGGTTTTACCGGGGTCAGAACATAAATCATGGAAATCTGACATAAACAGAACAATCAGAGTCAGTAAATTACAAAGGGAAGACCATAGCAAACACCTTAAGAGCTGCCACTACTCATCTACCTGCCATAGCACAGGATACAAAGAACAGCTAATAAAAACCTTCAGCTTGCTCTGCAAAACAGCAGCATTTGAGTAAGCAGTCAGATCGAGCTGCTGAAGTCCATTGTACTCTCAGGCCTGGCAGAGGAACAAAGTCTTTTTCATGACTTCTGTCTACCTGTCTTTGATAAATGGTGCTGGGGAAGGGAGCTGGGGAAACACGCAGAGGCAAGTTAAAAGGAAAAAGCAACACCATGACATGCTCCAAGTACACTTTTGTGATCAGAAATCCTCCGAAGTCTCATGGAATGGGAAAATGGTCAAACCCTAATCATGCCACAAAGAAAACCCAGTGAAGAATCAAGAGTATGCTTGGATGCAATTAATGAATATTTTTGTCATCTCAAATGCTATTACAAAATAAGGAAACAAGTACTTACGAAAAAGACTTTCGCCCCAGTCCAACTTCTCAGCGCAGACGTTATCAAACTGCCCCATTTTCGCAACGTCCGCTCGGTGCTGCGCAAAGGCCAACTGCAGGGAACGGGGAGTGGGGCTGGGTGCAGGGCTGGGACAATTCCCCGTGCAAATGGCAATTTCCCCATTACATACCCACACAACGATAATTCCCCCTGTCAATACGCATTAAAAGTTTGCTACCTAAACACTTTATTGGAGTTAAAGTTAACAACTTTCTGGGAATGGACAAAACCCATGCTGATGGTTTCACTCCAAATGGAGTCTGAACTGCCAAAGGACCAAGCTCCGTGTTCAAAGAAACTAGTTCAGGGCAAAAGTAAAGTGATGACATCACCTTTCCTTAAAATGTTTCTGGCTTGGAAGCAGACACAGCTGTCATGCAGTGACTGATTCAAACACTATTTTTAAAGTAACTCCCATTAACAAAGACCTGTATTCATTACAATTTTGCCTTACAGTCTGCAACTGATAATCAAATAGCAAAAAAACCAAGTCAAATCATCTGTTGCAAAACTCTGACATTCTCCACTGCCCTAGTGTAAGCCATCTCCATGGCACTGCACTGCTGTCCAAGAGCCATCCTGCTCCTGGCACTCCACTGCTCCTGGGTCTGACAAACTGCAGTTCAACGTGGAAGAAAATATGTGAGGACTGAGATTTTGTGGTTGGGCTGTGACCTAGTAGCATAAATTCCTCCTCAATAAAACTGATACCATTATACAGTCAGGCATTTAATCACCACTAATGAAGCTTTTATCTGGTTTATCACATCAAATACAGTTTCAGCCCGGGGAATCTTCAGAAAGAAAAAACTCACAATGTATTTTCATCTAACTTTACTACTAAGATGCTTTAGTCAGAAACCACATCTGCCTTGCACACGCAGTGACATCAGAGTTCTACTGCTCTATGGATTCTGTGCACAAGGCAGGATAAAACTTGGCAGGTTTTCCTTTGTTCTTTAAGCCTAACACACCCATCAACATGCAAAATAAATTGTTCATCCCTTTATGTATTCCGTGGTTAATTTAAAGCTTTATGCAAACTAACTAAAGGAACTAAATAACCTTAACTCCCTCATAACTATAATTTTATGCCTAAAAGCCATTAAGATTACAGAACTTACCTTATACAAATAGAGCCAATTCCATGCAAAACTGATGAGAAAACTGATTAGTAGAATACGTTTTAGCTGAACAAACCAATGAATGTGTGTCCAGAGCTCTGTAGCTATTACACTGACAATGCACAGCAAGCACAGGAGTAGCTGAAAAAGAAAAGAGGAAAAAATTATGATCCAAATTTGGAATTTTCCAAGCTTACTGCCAGTACACATGAAGGAACTTCCAACTTTTGCTTTTACTAGTGTCATTGACACAGAACAGTTCAGAGAGTTGGTCCTTGCTTTCACAGCACATCTGTGCCGCGTGAGGCAGAACAGTGTCGTGGCATTACTAACAGTCACTCCTATCACAGCCTCATTCTGCAGCTGCTCCTTTCCTTCTTATCATATTTAGTTATTTCTTCCTGACCACGTTTGTCACATCACCTACCTAAATAATAAAATTGGTGTAAGTCCGTGCTTGAGTAGTACATGCCTGGTATGATCCACAGAACAACTGCTGCCAACTCCTGCACGTGGTTCAGAGTCACAGTTCGGGTAACAGCAGCAAGACTTGAGAGAAGCACTTTACAGCCTCCTTCCACCTGACAACACCTATCAGCACAGTTACACCCCTGACAGTCTGCTTTTGTGACTGGGCTCCCATGGACCCCTCAAATCCAGAAAGGCTACTTTCAACATCACATCAGCCTGAAACGCATATTCTGAATTGTAAAGATTTAGGTAACTTCAGGTTATTAGAGATGCTCTTAGCACTTCTCAATTCCATAGTCATGCTTATTAGAGATGCTCTGCTTAGCACTTCTCAATTCCATAGTCATGCTCCTTCTCTGCAACACTATATAAGTTTTTTCCATAAAATTCACAAGAGCCTCTGACCTTTAAAAGCTCAAATATATACTTGTCTCAATATAAATATGTTCCAACTCCTACAGAAAGGAACAGCTTCAGCATCTACTCAAACAAGACAAACCTGGAAAATCTGTAATGCACAAGGTGTCAGTTTTAGTGGTAAGAAAGTGCCTAATGAGTCACAGAGCACAGACATAAAAGACAAGAAGAGGAACAAAAGCCATACCAGAAGAAAACCCCACAAAGCTACAATAAGAAAAGATAACCATAGGAATAAAAAATTTGAATTCTAACTTGAAGTAGATATATCACCTCTGCCTTCAGCAGCCATGAAAAGTGTGGCTCACTGAAAGTACAATGCAGAGTTGCTTTGTACGTGGAGTTTAGATGGTAATGTTCATTGACCAGACTTGCAGAGAAGCAGCAATGAAAGCCAACAAAAAAACCTTTATTCTCTTACCAGAAACATATTATATAGATCAATTCCAAAAGTGTCTTCAAATCTCCAGTGCCAAGCTTCATAATCATGGTGTTTAAAATTGATCAAAATATCACTAAGTGCATCATCCATGGCCCCTGACTGCCAGGTTTCCTCATTGAGAAACCTAAGGATCTCCAAATATGTCTGTTTTGTAAGGATGATCTCAGCATCGTAATGGACTTGGCCCACGTTTTCTTCAGGCTGAATTAAAAGTAAAGCAAAACAACAGTTATAATCTGCTTACTTGAAAATGGAAGTGCATCCCTAGGCAAATTCCTGATTATGTACCCTCCAGTCTGCACCAGCATCTTTTTGAAGCAGACTGCTGGATGGAGACATGGGACAGGGAACACTCAATCTTTTGGTTCATTCTTCTAAGCAGTACGAAACACAAATTCAGCTGCTTTGTGCTCCCTCAGTTCTACAGCAAAAACAAGTAATAGGCTATGGCTGGGCACTACAGGTAGAAGGTATTAAATACTGAAACTTATTTCTAAAACTTAATTCTTCTACCACTTGTAAGAAAAAAAATCTCCAAAGACAATACAACAAAATGCCCAGCCAGCAATCAGGTACCATGTGGCCACTCACTCTCCCCACATCCCCCCTGGTGGGGAGCAGAATCAGACAACAAGGCAAACCTCATGAGTTAAGAACAGTTTAATAACTGAAGCAAAATAAAGTATGATGATAATAATAATAATGAAAAGGAGAGGGAGAGAAAATAACACCCAGGAGAACAAGTGATGCACAGTACCCAGTCTGTCCCAAGCAGCCACTGGCCCCTCCTGGCTAACTCCCCCAGTTCATACTGAACACAATGGTCTGTGGTTTGGAACATCCCTTTGGCCAACTCTTCATCGCCTGGCCACACTCTCTCCCAGCATCTTGTGCAGCTCCTCACTGCCACAGCACGAGTTCTTGACTCAGAGTAAGCACTACTGAGAAACAACTGCAACACCAGTGTGTTATCAACATTGTTCTCATGCTGAATCCAAAGCACAGCACTGTACCAGCTACTAGGAACAAAGTTAACTCTGTTCCAGCTGAAACCAGCACATAAAGAAGGTACTAAGGTCATTCTTATATGGAAACTCTAAAAAGCTACTATTCCTAGACAGTTAGAATCATAGAATGGTTTGGGTTGGAAGGGACATCAAAAATCATCTAGTTCAACTCCCCAGCCATGGGCATGGATGCCACCCACTAGATCAGGCTGCTCAAATCCCCAGGGATGGGGCATCCACAGCTTCTCTGGGCAACCTGTTCCAGTGCCTCAGCACCCTCACAGCAAACAAATTCTTCCTAATATCTAACCTAAACCTACCCCCTTTCAGTTTAAAGCCATTCTCCCTTGTCCCATCACTGCAATGCCCTGGTAAGAAGTCCCTCTTACAGGCCTCCCTTTAGGTACTCAGAGGTGCTCTAAGGTCACCCCAGAGCCTTCTCTCTCCAGACTGAACAGCCCCAGCTCTCTCAGTCTGTCTGCACAGGACAGGTGCTCCAGCCCTCTGAGCATTCAGTTCATGTAATGGTTGTTGTATATATGTCATATATGTTGTATTTGTCATATAATAGCTATAGCTGCATCCCAGCAATAGGTATTTAGATACCCTGAATTCTCATTTCTTTAGATGCTTTATGAATCAAATAGCAACTCTATCTCCTGAGCAGCACTGGATGCACACACTTCTATCATCTTTCCCCTTGCAATTCAGTTCTCTTAATTTAAAGTATGCCAGAATAATTAAGCAGTACTTGTAAACTGTGAAACACATAAAGTAACACTAAGAATTCTAATAAGCTTTTTAATGACTGTTCAAATACTTACAAGGCCAAGTTTTGCAGCTTCATTTAAAATCTTGTTCAAGTATCGCTTAAAAATATAAAAGCTTCGGTTGTCCTGTGATTTGGCACTTCTCCTCTCACAGTCTGCAACCTGCAATTGTGCAAAAGACACTTATCTTCACTTGGCTCAAACCACCTTATTCATAGGAGAAAAAAAACCCTACCAATACATTAAACTCAGGATTAACAGGGGCATATTTCTTTAGTTTAGCAGTGGTGCCTTGGTCAGCATGCCGGATAAACAGCACGTGCAGTTAGTGAAGATACTGCTTTCCATGGGACTGGCCAGTACTGGAGACTTCAAATCTGCTAATAGCATTAAAAACATAACCCCAGTGAGGCTAGGAAAAAAGTGACTATCTGGATCTCCTTATGTCTGAAGTTGGCATCAGGGAAAAAAGAACTGTAAAAAATCCTAAGTTAAACACGAATGACACATATCCTATTGGGTATGCAAACGGCTGAGGGGAGTGAGTGCCCTGGTAGCTACACAAGCATCACCATATCCTGGTGGGGTCTTAGAGCAGCTCCCAAGAGCTGCAGCACTGCACATTACAGTGTTCTCTCTGCCCACAACCCACCCCTTAAAATCAAACAGAACTGAACTACCTGAAAACAACAGGCCAAGTTTCTCAGCCTTTGGCAAATGGTGTAACATCAACACCACACATTGAAACCACTGACCCTGGACAGAAGCACTGAGCCCCTGTCATCTTGCTACACTATAAAATGTTTTAGGAAACAGACCCTGTAAGGCAGAGCAGCAACTTGGAATTGAGTTCAAACCACTCCCAGTCTCTCCCTTGAATGAAGAGGTTCTCCCTACACAAAGCACAAATTATGCCAGTGATGCACCTGCTTGACACCATCCAGAAGAGCATCCTCAGAAAGCACAAACTATCAAACTGGAAAATATTCTGAAGAACAAACCTTCTGTTGCAAGGACTCTATTGCCCTGGAGCAACTTGATGAGATTTCAGTATTGACTGTATCCACAGCCTTATCCTCAGAGTCATGATAGTTTCCCTGAAATTACAGAAGAAAACCATGCAATTTTAGAATTGACAAATCTGAGTGCAATGCCCTGCTGTGCTTCTGCAGTCAGGTCACTTTGAAAGAAGCAAAGGAGCTAAAAACTGAGTGTTGATCTTTGCTCCTAATACTCTCCCAGCCATACCCCAGCTGCCTCTCTGCTGTTATTTTAGGCTCCAGATGGACAATGGCTGTGTTTATTTAAATGCATGCTGCCTTCAAAAGGCAAGGTCCTGCCTGTCCTCCCCCACTTGCCCTTTCCCCTCCTTCGAGTGCTGCTGAGCCACACAGTGCATCAGATTAGATAATGGGGCTGGTGAAAAACTGACTCAGCAAGCAAAGGGGCAGTTTTTAGCCAGACAAATTCCCAGTCCAGCTGGCCAGACTGCAAGTAAACACCCCCCATCCTGGGCTGCAGGCCTTCCCTTCAGCTCCCTCTTCCTCCACAATGCTCCATCGCTCCTGTTAATTCCTCACACCTGTTTCAGCTGCTGCTCCTGCACAACCAGGTGTGCACAACAGTGCACAAATCAGGGAACTCATGCTGAAACAAAGGTTGGTTTTGAGGATTTGTGTGGCCCACACAGTCTGCCTGAAAACTCTCACTGCAGAACAGAAAAGAAACCCTGAAAAGATGCATGAACTGGCAGTTAAAGCAGTCATTTTTCTCCTTCAAGATGCAGTTCTATTTTTGTGGGAGACAACAGTAAAACTCCTATTTATTTTTAATAAAAACTGAAGCAGCTGTGCTCCAAGTGTAGAGACTCCAAAGCTTGCTGTTAAATTTTGGGGATGCTGATGACTATCAGGTGGACTTGGGGCAGACAGAGGCTGAGGAGGAGCTCTGTGGAGAGAAAGATGCAATCTGCATTTTTAAGCTTCAGAAAATTATGTTCTGAAGTGTTTAAACAGTATTATTCAAGACTGCTAAACCAAATTTGAAAGCTGAATAATGACAAAACTCAAGGGTGCCCACACAACCAACCACAGCTATGCCCATATGTACTAGATAAACAACATGCACCTCATGATGTATGAGGGGTGGACTCTACAGATAAGACACCTTGTTAAAACTAGAGTTTTTTCCTACTTCACCTTCTCCTCAATGTTCACGAACCATTAACAATTCCTGTTCTGATCTCCCCTCTGAACACATGCTCAGCCTTACAAAACACCACTGACTTTCACGAGTCTCACATGAGAAATGGGGTTTATTACCATATTGCTGGGAAACTGGTTAATTAACATAACATACAACCATCACCTTTAACTCTCCCCACTTTTGTCAGCTAGGAATTTAATTGTCATGATATTTAACACTATACTTGAGAAGCTAGCAAGAGCTGCTTAACCCAGTACTCCCTAAGGCAGTAACTTGTGAAGCCACAACCTGCATAAACCAAGCACTGCCTGTGAAAGCCAAAAGCCTAGTGGCTGTGACTTGATCAGTGTGCAACAGAAACTCATCAGGAAAAGGCCCTGAGCTAATTACAGTAACACAGACCACTATTTTTCTCCTTGCACTTTTAACTACGGACACACAAGACTTTTCTGTGCATGGATTCAGACAGAACATGATAAGACATAAAAAATAATGTAATTTGATAGATTTCTACTGTCAGGATTTAAGAGCAATCTTTCAACAGCAGGTGGCTGAAGGGCTGTTTGGGAGAGACATGCAGCCATTCACCCTTTGTTTTGCTACCTTGTAAGGTCTTCTCATTGTTCCTGATGCTGCATCATAATTGAGCATATCCGTGGGGTCAATCCACTCATCTTCGTGAACTTTACCACTCCCTGTCAGCACAACTGCACACAATACCCAAGGAAACAGCATCCTGTATCACTGAACAGAACAACAAATTCGGCTATTTAGCTCAGGGTGTAACTCGCTGTATGGAAACAACGTAAGAGTCTTATATGAACAAAGTATGTTCTGGCCTTGTTTGAAAACTCAGTTCTCCATTATACAGGCTGAATTTCACTTCCGTATTTTTCCCCACAGAAAATGCTGGCAATAATATGCAACAATTAAACTGAATTGTACGACTGGATCAACAAAAGTGACTAGTTACTACCAGGTGTGTAGCACTGCTGAATACAACAAAGCTGTGCAGAACTCCTGCAGGCAGACAAGGCTGCTGCGTTAGCAGAGAGGCAATTTTTTCTGTCACATTAAGGAGGAGGAGATTTGAGAGAAAATAAACTGCGCTTGTGTTCCAGCTGCTCCTCAGATACCAGACAAACACAGCCCCGGGCACAAAGGGGCACAAAGGGGCAGCCTCCTGTCCCCTCCTGACACACAGCCCCGGGCACAAAAGGGGCACAAAAGGGGCAGCCTCCTGTCCCCTCCTGCCCCTCCCTTTACAGTGCTCTGAGGGAGGGGACACAGGCGGAGTCTCAGTTGATGTCATGTCACGTTTGAGTGACTTCACCCGGGGGTGGGAAAACTGCTGTGTGTTTTGGAGCTAGCGGAGCGAAGTCCAGCTCCTGCTCCCGTCTGGGTCACTCCTCTGGCTCAGCTCCCGCTGCCCGCGCCGTGTCCAGCACAGCATCACGGCAACGGCCGCTCTGCTCCCGGGGCCGGCGGAGCGCAGAGCTCTGCGGGCAGTGA